GAGGTTACCAAGCTCAGTGAACCCTATACAAAGAGCAGGGCTTCCTGGCAGCTAACAGTTTTACTCTTCAAATATATTTTCACAGCCTTAGCACATCTCATACAAGCAAACATGCTGCCAAAAGGCAGTCATAATGCATGTTTCTCAGTTGTTTCTTTTATACTGCTGCCTAATGATTCTGTTCTGCAAGAAAAACAAAGCTAGACTTAGTGGTTTTGGACAAAGTAAATGCTGTACTTGTGCTTCCGTTCCTATGATACTATGGTAAGGATGACTAGTTAGGAAATCATTGGGTTTCATGCCTTTGGGCTACATGTAGAAAATCATAGCTGCTTTTTAAAAACAGTTTCTATGTAGCTCTTGGAAATAGTATTCAAAGCACTGATTTAAAACCATTTTGCTAACTACAAAGGTCTGCTTGAAGGAAACCATGGAAATTCATGATTCGTTCCTAAAAAAACCCAAACCACAAAAAAAACCAGCAAACCCACCCTTATTTAACTGCCTGTAACAAAACCAGGCATTTGGATCTGGGTCCTATTGTATAATGAGAGTGGGTGGAAACATAGCCATGGCATCCTTTGATACCTGTGAGTTAATTTTTATAACACTACCACATGAAGATTTTCCCCCAAACATAATGTGCTGTGCAGGGAGACTTTCATAAGGTGTAGAGTACAGAGGCCAGATTCAGCCCTGCTTCAAGGGCATTAACCCAGCAGGAGTCTTAAAAGGTGATATGAAACACCACTTAGTATTTCCAGGATGGGGCCAGCAGCTAAGCTTTGGGGAGTGGCCCCCAAAGACAGGAGGCAGTTTGAGAGCACAGGGTTGTGGTTGCACGTTAGCTAATAACCAGCAAACCCCTTCCTCCCTCCCACCGCTGGGTTTCCATTATGTGCCCATGTAGATGCACAGGACCTACCCACGGTCAGCCATAGCAGTTAGTTAACACTCATTACATTCATGGCACATGGCACCTGCCACAAACCGCCGCATTTTGGCTTGGGAGGGAACATTTCTGCAACTCCAGAGCTGGTGGCTGATGGTGTCGTAAGTGCCCCATGAGAGGATGGGTGTCTCCACGAGTAGGGGCCAGATCCTGCCCCGGCTCCACTCACGCAGTGAGACCTCGTGAGGCCTCTTTGTGCTCCTTGTGAGGAATGGGCTTGAGGAGAGGCTGACACAGCCTATAAACCAACCTGGGAAGCCATCTGTGCATGTTAAGCTGTTTTTATCTCCTCCCCACACTTTTCCCATAGCAGGAGTCCAGGTGACCAATGCATAACAGTGTGCTTTGGATCACTTGCGAAAGGCAAAGGGTGGGTAGGATATAGGTGATACTCGAGGCTTAGGTCCAATCTTAAAAAAAAAGGCCTTACCCAAGTAGTAACTGCCATTGCTTTGGTTATTTTTTTCTTTCTGTTTTCCTAATACACCACTAGGTATGAGGGGCTGGACCACGCAGTGCAGTGTGATGACTATATTCAGGATCACGGTATAAACATCGGTTGCATGTTGCAAAATCTGAGCCAGGCAGAATATAAGGATCTGAGCATTTGTGTCAATGGTTCGGCGCCAGCCACTCTGCTACGGCCGTTGTACATCACCCTTCGCCTTCACAACCTAGGTAACACTGGCAGGAAAGCAGCAGGGCTCTGGGGACCCACATGGCCACCATGGACCCAAGGCTCACATCTTGCACAAAGGGGCTCAAAGAAATGTGCATGCTTGTAGATGGGTGGCTGTAATGTGTCTGGGTGGATTTCCCCCTGGAGAAGGGGCTGTGGCGTGTGCCACACAGGACTTTAGTTTTCAGCAGTGTTTGCAGGCGAGCAATACCACTCAGTGCCCACCCTGGAGGGTCAGTGGGTGCCTCCAAGTGCTGCGCTTGGCAGCTGGACAACTCGGGACATAAATGGTCTGCTGGGCAGATGGCAGAGCAGCTATGGGTTTTTTGGCTCTAGCAGGACGACCACAGAGGTGGCTTCATTTACTCCTGCTGGAATTGAAACCGCTGCTCCACTCCTGCAAGCACAGGAGAGATCTTTGCTGTTCGAATCAAGCTAAGGGCTGCGGAGAATTGAGTGCAAGGTGTGATGAGGTCTGCCAGAACAAAGGTGGATTTCAAACCCATCAGAGACTGGGAAAGGAAGCAAAGCACAGCATGATGTATAACCCGATACATGTACTAGCTCTTTATTATGGGCACTTACCATGCTGATGCATTTACCCACATGCAAATGTCAGGGGGAAAAATAGCTAGTCCTCCAGTTAAGCCACTGGACTAATAAGCAGAATTTCTGGATTAAATTAGTGCTGCCATGCGCTTCATGTGTGGCTTTGGGCATCTGACATAAACCAGAGCCTCTCCTGGGATGCAGAGAGTGTCAGGCCAACACTGTTGTGGTGTTTCACTGCAGGGGCCAAGGCTGCCCTCACAGCACAGAGAGGGCTGGCTGACCGCACTGCAAGGGGAACGTGCCGAGCACAATGCTCACACCCCAGTGTTTCAAAACCCCTGCACTGCAGCCCAGAGCAAGGACCTAACCCAGCCCATGTGTCAAGTTAAAATAAACAACCCACCCTCCAGCCTCAGTGACATCCTGCTCCTGCAGCATCGTGGCTGATAGCAATGGGAGCTCAGAAATCCCATCAGTGGGGAAAAGGGGCAGAGGTTGGTGGTGATTAACTGAAGCCTTTCCCACCAGGAGCTGTTCAATTGCACCTTTTGACCTTCTCTCTTTTTGTTCCCCCCCCAGCAAAGCCCTCGCCCCCAAAGCAGCTGGTGGTTTCCATGTCTGCATCTGAGGAGCTCCATGTGGTGTGGAGCCCGCCGGATGGTGAAACGCCACCCCAGTGCCTGGAGTACGAGGTTCAGCTGGCAGAAGATCAGGGGGAGGCCAAGGCTGCCTGGGCGGTAGGGACAACACACACCATGCCGCAGGGAGGGGAAGAGGCGGGGGGGAGCACTGCCTGATGGCTGGCAGCAGGGAGGCGCACCGGAAAATTGGGGTTCGCACTGAGTTGCAGATGGCATGTTAGGTACCCTGTGCATGGGCTGTGCAGGGATGTTAGCTGGTGCTGCTGGTAGAAAATGCTGACCAGCTGCTCCATTGCACATGTTCCTACTTAACACCCTGACCTCCAGCCACAGCATTTGCTTTAGCAGTAACAGATCCCAGCACGAGTCTCGGAGCGATCGCTTTCTCTGGCTTCCTGCCTATGGTCTCAGAAAGCTGTCATCATGGAAATTTAAAGGTTGTTGTGGTTTGTTATCCTGAATATGGTGGCACAACTTAGTCCAATGAAACTGTAATTCTAATCTCTCCAAAGAAGTGGCCTGGGACACAACACGTCTTTTATGCATGGTGCTTTTTCCTTGTGCATTATCCAGGTGCAGTTTTGATAGCAAAAATGGCAAGAACTAGTTAATCATAGGGGACATCTGAAGGACATTTTTTCTTTAATTGCCATATTCTATAACTGAGTCTCCTTAGCTAATTTAATGAAAGATTCCATAAATTGACAGGCATAAATGGCAACATACATGATGGCACCCCCCCAGAGTGTTTGTATTTTCAGTAGATTCATACCCATAATCATCTTATTGGCATTAGCCAGTCCAAAACTATTATGAAATCATTTAAAACTGACAAAACATAATCCAAGGGTTTGCAGAGCCTGGAGAGTATGTTCAGAAACATCAGTCCTTGCCAGAGAGCACTGATGGTGGCACATAATTCCTTGACTTTTGTTTTCTCTGTTTTGTTTCTCAGTCTGTGTCAACCCAAATGGAGACTGCTTTAACAATTTCCAGAGCAAATCAAAGCATTCCATGTGTTCGTGTCAGGGGGAGAACAAATATTTTCTGTGCTGACGAGGGCTTTTGGAGTGAATGGACGCAAGAGTGTTTCTCTGGTATGGACTCCAAAGTAACCAGCGTTTCTTTTACATCCTTTATAAAGCCTGTTTGGGACCAAGCGCTGATGGCTCTCACGGGCATCTGCTGGTGTCCAGCAATGGAGGTGGGATCCTGGTTTAGTTACACCCTCAACCTACTCCAGCACAGCCATTCTTACAACTTGGCATCTCCAGTGCACTTAACAGGCAAGCCCCGAAATATTAACGCTTCTGCACCAGCACCCTTCCCTGCTGCACAGGGTCAGCTGTGATGGAGGAGTGACTGCTTTGCAAGAGAGAGCATGTGGTATTTGGAGTCTCTCCACAGGGCATCCTCCTGGCTGCCCCGCACCACGGATCAGCTCCTTTGCACCTCATAGACTCTATAGGACTGTCCCCGTGTGCACTGGCTCTGCTGCAAGATGCTGAAGGCAGGGAAGAGGCACATAGCGGTGGCTACATATATATGCAGGTATATGTTACCCTGAAGGAGTATGTTACCCTATCAGTAACATATACCTGGCATATATCTGTAATAAATAAATAAATATATGTAAGGTAACAAACCTGGACACACTGAGTTTGCATCTGAGCCCAAGCTTTGTAAGAGGTAATATGACCCATTCTGGAAGCTAGCGTTTTCTTATTTGCTGTCATTTATCCTTGCAGTGTCCAGAAAAGAGGACAAGCAGCTATTTATCCTCATTCCAGTCATTCTGAGTTTGTCAAGTAGTCTCATAATATTTATGTTGATTGGCCAGTGCAAGAAAAGGTAAGCGCCAAGGCAGCCTGTCCATGCAATGTGATTTTATGTGTGTGTCTCTGACTACAGTTATAAATGAAACAACATATTAAATAGTAAGAGCCAAACATTAATAGATGCTCTAAGATTGGACACCAAACAACAGTTTATTTCCAGGAAACAACCTTGTAAGTGTGGCTGTTTCTGATATGAAATGCCTCACAACAACCCATAAACTCACAGCAGAGACCCAAATCCTGTTCACATGAGCCCAGACTGCTCTGGGCTGTCTGTTAAATGCAGCAAAGTTACCTGCATGCACAGCAGCATAAATAATGCCATTATCTTGCCCCAAACCACTCAGGCAGCAGAGATTTGTACTGGTTGTGTTAAAGAAGTGCCATTTTTATGGGCTAAGGCCTCATTCTCTTGGCAGTCCCGTCCCAGTTGTTTGCATCCATGTCAATGATGGCATGTGGGGAAAGCAGACACAGTGGATGAATTTGCCCATATCCAAATTATTGGTACTGATGACAGTTTCTTCAGGTCTGAAGGTCTGAAGATCTGAAGGATCACTTAGAGAGAACTGATCCCCTGGTACTGATAACTATTATCTTTTTGTTATAGCCGTATAGTGCAAGTGGGTAGCTTTTCTAATATGCCTTTTAAGGCATCACTGATGAGGGAGAACTGGCTATAGAAATACCTTCATGTTGTCCTCAGTGATGAACTAACACCTATTTGGTAGTTGAATGCATGGAGTGTGAGACACACACTCCTTCATCTTTGTTTTGTATCTGCCTTTCAAATATTCTGGTTCATGAAATTCGAACAAAGTGTAGATGCTAACAAGAAAACTGGAAAGCAAATGCTTCCCTCATTGCCACCGGGATGCAGCGATGTGTGACAGGGATGCTGTAGCGCATCCCCAGCTGTCTCTTGGTGCTGGAAATAACAGTCTGTGCCCATTTCAGATCCCCAGCAGGAAAGCCATTGCATGCATCAGTGGGATGTTAACTCTGCTTGCAACTGCTGTACCACTTGTGTTTGATGGATTGCTCTTAGAACATCATCCCAAGGACAGATGAGAAGCCCTGAGCTTTCTATAGCCCACGTGGGTCTTCCCTACCTGCTGCCATTTGCAAGGTTGGTTGTTGCAATTCAAGACCTCAATGGGCCCAGGAAAACATCGGTGGAGTTTTAAACTGACTCTGGAGCAAGCTGTTTCTGATAACAGGACAAGGGAGAAAAAGGAGGCGGTGGAAACTGCCATGAATAAAGATAACACGTCGCTATGTGAGTTTGTTTTTCTTTTTTTTAAGGACTCTAGAAATCTGTCAACAGGACACACACTGAAGGGCAGCACCTCACACACAATGCTAGGTACAAACGCCTGCATCTAGCCGCTGTACCGCATCTCGCTCTCACCATGTCTTCCTAGTCCCCAAATACTCAGCCTGCTGAGAAGCATATAAATGCTGAACGTGAGCTACTTGAGCTATTTATTTCATTAACTGATATGCCTTATCTGTTGCAAAGCTGAAGTGGGGAGGCATTGAGAGAAACTTTTGCTGTAAAAAGGCATGATTACAGCCACTGCAAAGGATGGATGCTTCAGAGGAGAAGTGAAGGTTACTCTGGCAAAGGCAGTGTGGGAACTTCTCTAGGAAGCGGGTGCTGGTACCAGAATTCAATGAAGCACCCAAGATGTCTCTCAACACCATGTATTCAGCTGATGAAATTGCTGACTGATTTTTAAGGAACCATTACCTATGATGATGATTTAAAAAAAAAAAAAAATCAGCACTAGATGAGACACTGTCCTCCAAGCCCATTCTGGGGCTTTTTTTGGTCAAAGGACTAACCAGCTCAAACCCAGAGGTTTAGTGTGCTTTCATTTCATCTGAACAACCCAGAAAACATATTGTCTTGCAGGAGCATTTATTCAAAATGGGAATTTCTAGTGAACAGTGGAAGCTCAGAGAGAAAATCAAGTTTGCGTCAATCAGCTATGTAAAGAGCCATGCTAATCCAATCAGGCACAAAACAACACAGCAAGTGCTGTCTTACAATCCAACTGCAAAATTATTCAGTCATTATCAGCTGCTTCCAATGCTAAATGGGCAACAACCCAATGTTATTTGGGGAGCAACCAAAGGAGGAAAGCACCAGAAAAAAATGGTCTATGCACAGACTGGAGCAGAAATGAAGTTTCCTGGCTGTTAATTTTGATGAGACACAACCTCTCCCTCTACTGTCTCCTGGGGCTTCTGGCCAGCCAGCATGGGATGGCTTTACATTTAAAAATACCCGTGAGCACGTAATGGGCATTGAAATACTGTGTTTTACCTTGATGAATGCAGCACATTAGAATTGGAGAAGGTAGCTGGACTTGCAAGGCACTGACTGATATAACAGAGAAGGTGAAAGGAACCACGAGAGAGAGAAAGAAGCAGGAATAATGCTGGCTTGTCCCAGAAGCAGCCCCCAGCCCCAGCTCAGGGAGACCTGGCCTGCAGACATCTCCAAAACATGTTCATCAGAGCAATGCAAGGGAATGCACGGTTCATACAACTGCCAGATGCAGGAGGCTCAGGACAGCATTTCCTCCTCTGTGCAATGGGAGAGAGCAGCTCTTTGTTTGGTACCCTCCCACCAGCTGCAGAGTCCTCTTCCTTCCCTCTCTGGTCTCCAGCAGGATTTTTGCAGCGACAAGGCACACAGCCCTACACCGTGGCTGCCCCTGGCCGGCACAGCACAAATATTTTGCTCTGACTCGCTCTGGAGGCTGATCTGCGTGCCCCTCCCTGCAGAGCGATGGGCCATCAGGGCAGGGCAGTCTCTGGGAGGACCAAGCCTGGATCTCCTGCTCTGCAAGACCAGGATGAGCAGAGATGCTCCGTCAAGTGCGTTCTAGGGTTTTCGGGTACTTTCATGAACTAGAGGACTTTGGCACATCCAGAACTGGGTAGCATTTGGGTTATGGGTTTTCAGAACTGCCACCAGGGCAACAGTTACTGCACTAATAATAAAGGTTAAAACCAGAAAAAGTGCTAGAGAAAACTATTGGAAAGAGTCTCATTGAGATTTGCCATTACTGGAAATAACTCCTGGTAGGCCTTTGATGTTCTGCCAGCCTCTTAAACAGTTTAAACGTTTGCTAAAAACATGAGTGCATTGTGAACCTCCCCCAGGGGAAAAGCAAGGCAGGCAGCTAGAGCCCACCCTGCTGCCCTGGGTATATCTGATGCGATCTCACCCACTTCACCAGGCGGGATCACCGTGCACAGGCATTTGGAGTAGGCCAAATGGTGTGGCAACCCCTGCTGGACGTGTTTAAGCTGGGTTAAAGTTTCTAGTCTAATTTTGTCCAAAAAGAGGGAAGAAGAATTAAAGAGAATGGGTGCAGGTAAGAGGTGGCGAAGGAATGAATGTTGTACCTCCGCAGCTAGAACTCACCCCAAAAAAGATCAGAGCTATTTCACTAACCACAAAATATAAAAGTTAGGCTGAAGCCTGCCTAGAAACCTGCCTAGTAACAGAGTGATAAATTAAGTGCATCTACTTACGGTATCTGTATGCTGCAGTTTTACAGGAGTGTTTAAGGTAAGGAAAGCTGGGCTTGGCCCTGGCGTGGGGCTCCCGGCTCACCAAACTCACCCCTGCAGAGGGTCCTCGCTGCAGCAGCAGCAAGACACGCTCCACCTGCTTTGTCACAGCATCACATCTGCAGCATGTACAAAATTTAATCCCAATAGGTGGCCAGCTGCTAGTCCTTCCTAACATTCTGAACCTTGCTAGAATTTCAGTGGTATGCTTTTTTCCCTATGTTTCTAGAATTACACTAATTACGTATTTCTTTCACACAGTATTTGCATTACAGTGGTTTAATTCATTTGCTGTAGTCCATAATTAATATTTTCAGTAAAGTGCTTTCAAAATCCCTCCTTTGGCATACTCTGCTCTTATTGTTCCCAGCTCATGTCTGGATTCCCTGGTGTTTTTACCATCTTAGCCCCACATGTCTGGTAAGGCATGTCTCTGCCAAACACACAAAGAGAACTCCTTTGCATACCCTTGAGTTTAGGGTCTTTTTTCTGTCTTTGACTGATAAAGTCTTAGAGCTATTTATTGAAGAATAAAAAGCAACCTTTCGTACAGAGTTTTTTTTCCCTAGAGAATGTCAATACTTGTCAAACATATGAAAGCACGATCGTGTGCATGCTGCAGGGAAATGCAAAATCAATTTGCGTCTGTCATATTCTAACTGCTTTTGGGAAATAGCAAAACAGGGAAGGTGAATGCCAAGGTCTCTGAACTCACAAAATCACCCTCCTTCTCCCACTGAGGTCTATTTTTAAGCTGCCAACAAGAGAATAATTTGAAAACCAGTTTACCTTCTGTTTCCTCATTATCCATCCTCATATTTTTTCATTTTTCTGACTGGCCTCTAAATACAAGATTTTGACGTGTTTCAATCACTGTAACCTGCCAATCGCTGAAAGACATAAATCAAGGCTGGTATGTCTCAGGAGCCCTTTACTCCTCTTGCACCTGAGGAAATGAAAAGGTAGAAGTTGTATCTCACCGGCTGAGGCAGCTCTGCTGAAGTTTTCCATCTCGTACAGGCGCTAGAAACTCCATGGCCACTGGGTGTCAGCATCTGTGCTTGGACGCAGAGGAGGAGGAAAGCAGGTGCAGCATCGCTTCCACCAGGATTCAGTATTTAGTGCATGAAAATTAAACAGAGGCATTGTAAGATAGATGAGAGTTTTTTCTTTTTGTACTGCTAAGCAGAGAAGTGTCACACTTTCACTCCGTCATTCAGTGCTGGGCTGACTGCCTCACGGCAACGTGACCACAGCCCAGCGTTGCTGCACTGACCGAAGCTGTGTCTCCCAGGGCATGGCCCAGCCAAACCCAGCCACTGCCCCTGCCCTCCCTCCCACGCTCGTGCCACTGAGCACCCACAGAAATACCCCATCGGCTCAAACTGGAGGCTCGGCCGAGAGGGGACTGCGCCCTGCTGTATGTCCCTGCCTCACTCTGGCATCAGGTCCTGCATCCCCGAGACACCATGGGTCTCAGCACCCATCCCAGAGCCTCCACAGGTCTCAGCACCCATTCCTGAGCCACTGCAGCTCTACAGAGTACCTAGATCTTGAAAGGATGTAAAGTGACACAGCCCTTCTGGTTTCAGCTTCCAGATGTGGAGGCTTTGGGAGTGCGGTAACTAATGATATCATCTAAAATCTAAAGAGCTTCATGGGCCATGGCAGGTTTGCAGCTCACTGCCTTATGCGGCAGGGTATATTTGAGAGCACTGTCAAGCTCTTTATGTCTATGTAGAAGCTGAATTTTCTCAGGAGGGTCTGTGGTTCTCATAGTTTCAAGGCAAACAAGTACAGCTGATGCATGTGCTTAACAAAACTATTTGAGGCAACATATTGTGGCTGAACTGTCTGAACAGCTGAAACGGCTCTGCAAACTGTCTGTGTCAAGATTCTCTTTCTGGAGCACAGAGGGATAAAACAACCAGCTGAGAAACAAGGGCTACCACAAGGTTTGCACCAAAACCAAGTATTCGCCTCCCTGCCATCCTGGGCTACTTGCCTCCTGTACAGGATCCCCTTCCAGACGTACCACGGGACTGCTCTGCTCAGGGAATAAAACGCCATTTCAGCAAGTGTTACGCCACCAGACACATTTAAAAAAAAAGAAAACTAATTTAAAAATCCTAAACGTGGCCTTGACATTTCCTTTTCTGATGGCTCTGCCCTGGAAACAACCTCAGTGTTTAAGCAGGTCTCAGTCCACGGAGAGCTGAGTGCAGGCACATCCTTAAGCCTGGGGGCTTGACAGGCATGGTGGCAGCCCTGCTGCAGTCCCTGACGATGCATGCACTGGTCTCTGACAGCAAGGAGAGCCTGCGCAGCACCTCTGCCTTCTCTGAGATACTGAATTAGGCTGCATTGCCCTGCCTTTGCTGGAAGGTGCGAAAGGTTGCCCCAAGTTCCTGCAGCTGCAGTGGGGGGATTTGAGCCATGGTCATCAGTGATCATCTGCTAACTTTTTTTTCTTTCCTTGCCTGGGAAGCTGTGAATAGGTAAAGGCATGTCGCACCTTTGGTGTGCTTGGATGTCCCACCTCACCAAAGCACGAGGAAGTAATTTTCAT